CCTCCCTGGCCGTCTCATCCTGGCCAAGGGTCTCTCTGCATAGGCCCTTGGTGGAAGGAGCTGCTTCCTAGTGGGGCAGTGGGAGGGGCAGGAAGCTCTCCCATGGGCCTTGTTCAAGGAGGCGGGGCAGAGAAGGCTTGCAAGGCCACCCTGTCCCCCACGGACTGGGGGAGAAAGGGGCCTGGGGCAGGGTGGGGAAGGGGCCAGGGTGAGAGTAGGGGTGAAGGAAGAGTCCTGGGACCATCGCCTCTGGATGCTGTGTGTCCTGGTAATTTTAGACCCAGAGAAGTGAGATCCCCCAGAGCAGGTCCCAGAGACGAAGTGCAGAGGCCACAGGAGTGCTGCCCCTCCCCGCAGACACAACAAGGCTCCGCTGCTCTCGCAGGTGCCCCCTCGGCCTCCACCTCACTGCCTCTGCTGCCCTGGAGGAGAGCTGGACCCTGACCACGAAGCCTACCCCAGGCCAGGGTCAGGGCCAGCCTCCCTGATGGCAGCCCTCTGGTTGGTCCTTGCTGCTTGGCCCAGGTGGCGCTGCAGGTGAGAGATTAGGAAGCTGAGTCAGAGAAATTACGACTTGCCCTGGGGCCCCTAACGACCCGGGGCTCCCCACGTCTGCCTGACTCTGACTCCGGCTTCTCTCTCACCATTCCGATCTACAAATCGTGCTGGAAAGGTGAGCTGAGCTCACATCCCCCAAAACCTGCTTAGCACACAGATCTGTTTGGCTGGTTAGGGGTGGGCTTTCATCTCCCAGCAAGAGCTCGTCTCTATAACCCTGGATTTAAGACCCAGAACTCCCTGGTGGCGGGTGGGAAGGGAGGTGGGCCGAGGGAAGTGACCGTCCTCACCCAGAGAAGGTCTCTGGGAGCTGAAGGAGGGAACCCCGCCGAGCTTGGCTGGAACAGGAGTTTTAGACCTTGGGGTTCCTCCTTGGACTTCCCTGCCAAGTCCGCCCCATAGGGATGCCGTACTCTCAGTGGTCAGAGGCGCCTTGCACACGCATGCACACACACGCACACACACACCCATAGCTGCTCTTGCCTGCATGGGGAGACTGCTCAGTCCCTTCTCTCCTGCATTTCAGTTGCAGGGAAAATGCATTATTTTTTCATTAAAAATTCATTTGGAAACAGCCTTCAGAGACGTAATTAGGCACGTTATTCCTCTCCACTAGCAGTCCCTGGTGTTTGCTGTGATTTCTTGTCCTTTTTCCTCTCCATTTCACCCTTTGCACCTTTACAGTCTGTGCAGCAGCCCTGCCCCACCCCGCCCCACTCATGGCCATGTCCTCTGGTTTGGGCCTGAGTGACCGCTTTCCAGTCTGGACAGGGAGTTACAGAAGGTCCCCCATCCCGCTCTGGGCCACAGTCCTGAACCAGAAAGGAGCTCAAAGATGCCCACCACTGCCTAGGCTCTTGGAACTGAGCGTCCCGGCATGGTGACACCTGGCGAGTAACTTGACCTCCCTGAGCTTCTGTTACCCTTACCAGGGCCGCGATCAGGGCTGGCACTCACACATGTGAAGCACTTCATTTTGAGGTGTATCGTAAGTGTCCAGTAAGAGGCAGCTCTACAGGACCAGCAGGTGGCGTGGTGGTTAAGATGCTAGACTCCCACTTGGCCGATCACGGTTCAAGTCCCCGATCTGGAGGCTTGCTTTCTCATTCTTTCTCTCTCTCTGTCTCTCTTCGGTCAAAACTGAATAATAATAGATAAATAACATAAAATAAATAATTCTTTAAAACAAAAGGGCAACTGTGCTTGGGAAGAGACAGAGAGGCTTCTGGGATAGAAGGACATGAGACATGGGCAGGGGAGGCTCAACCTGGGCTGGGAAGTCAGGGCTCCCTGCCAGTGGTGCCCCAGGAGCCCAGGCTGGCAACCCCCAAGAGAGCAGGGCTGGGGGGCTGTGGTGGAGAGTGCTCAGGGGTTCAGCCAAGCTACTGGAGGCTAACAGGCCTCTCTGTTGCCCCTGGCAGCTGACTGGGAGGTTGGCTCCCCAAGACCTTGGAGGTGGCCCCAAATTACAGCAAGAAGCTCCTCAGCATTCCAGCTGGTCCAGGGCTGAGCTGGGCTGGGCCGGCTCTTGCTCGGGAGAACTCCAAGTACTCCACCCCCAGGCCCTCCTCCCCGCCCCCCCTACTGCCCTCATGCTAGTGACACATGACACACAGCTGTCCCCAGCCCGGTCAGAGACTCAGTGCTCCGTGGAGGCAGGGGAGAAAAATCTGATGACAAAAATCTAAACCTAGCCGTGTTCCCCACAAAGGGGCTGAGAGAAAAGCATAGCTTTGTCCTAGAAGAACTTTGACACTCTGCAATGAAATCAAATCCAAACTCATGTGATTTCTATCTAGCTAGAGTGCCCCAGGCTAGACGGACCCAGGCAGGTGGCCTTTGAAGGGGCCGATGCCTGTTCAAAGGGACACAGCGGCACACAGCGGCGACGCGTTTCACAGGGCCATGCCCTGTAGCACGGAGGGAGTGGGCATGAACTCAGCTTCTCACACTGACCTGGGCTGCTTTTATAGCAACCTTGGTCCTGTAGGTTCCTGGGGACACAGAGAAGCAGAAACTGACTGGCCACTGGGTCTCTAAACCCGTGCCCAGATGTCACTGTGAGCCTTGCAGCAGCAGGTGGCAGCTCCACTGGAGCCTTTCGGAGTGACGTTCGCGGCCAAGTCCTGGGCAGGAGTGCTAACGGTGGCGATGCTGAGGGCAATGATACGATCACACCCTGGGGGCCTCTGGCGTGCCAGGGCGGGGCCGAGCATCACACACCTGCCCTCTCCTTCCACAATGCCAGGGCCTGGGGGAAGACGCTGCCATACAGACATGGGCCACATGGTTTTCTTCTTCCCAGGACTTCTTTAATGCAAACACCAAAAATAATATTTAAAACTCTGGGATGTATATGCCCCGAAGAACTCCCACGTCCAGAAATCTGAAGCAGAAATCTGGGTTTCCATCAGGGAGGGGGAAATGCTTAAAAGAGAAAGTAATACCTGGCAGAACCCCAAAGCACTGGGGCAATTACAGAAATAGACAAAAGGACCACCCTGCCCTGGAAATGGATGGTCACGTGCAGATCCCTCTGAAGGATCTGAGAAGGGGTGGGAGGAGTACTTGCACCCCTTCTTGCTGGGAGCAGGTCCTCACGGTCTCTCTGATGCTCAGCCTCCGTGCGGTCTCTCCGAGGTGCCTGTGACTGAGGAAACCACGAGGGCTAATTTGCAGAAAGGTTTTTACCTCCAGTTCACAGCTCGGGAGCCCGAGGTGAAGGAAGACCATAGATGATGTACGTCCATGTGTTCGTTTTAGAGGCCACACAGGGTTTAGCTCTCGGGTCTGCCCACCCCCCCGCCTGGCCCTCCTCTTCTCGGGGAAAAGCTGCCGACACTGCTATTGTGGAGGAGCAGAGGCGAAGATAATCCCAGTGGTGACTCACGCCCACGCCAGGCCTGCTGCTCTGGACGTGTGTGTTAGAAACCTCTGGCCGCCTCAGGGTGAGGCCACCCGATGTGGGAGAGTCCACCTTTATCCCACCCCTTCTCCCACTCAAAATGTCAGCCCCTCGCCGTGGAGACCTGGGGTCAGCAGATGAACGGGGAGAGGCTCTTTGGCTTGGCCGGTTGAGATGAGGCCGTGCAGGGGGATGACAAGGTGTTGTGATTTAAAAGGCTTCGTGCAGCGCCGCAGGCGGGCAGAACAGTAACAGTCAACGAGACAGTGAATTGTGCCCGCCGCCGACTTCCATATGGACGTGATTCATTGTGTTAATAAGGACGCAAGAGCCAGAGCTTGGCTATGTTCTGACTTCACGCCTGGGGACACTGAGGCTGGCAAGGGGACACACTGAAGTTGGAGGTCAGAGTCCAAATTCCAACTCCATGTTCCTGATTCCAGCTTGGTCCTCTAATCATGATCGTCTCCCCAGGACCAGGGATGCCTTGGAGTCAGGTGGGACCTGGGCAGAAAGGCAGGCGATGGCTATGGTGGACAGTAATGCCAACACCAAGTACCCCTCCGCCATCCTGCAGATCTGGAGCACCCACTGAGTGCCACGCGGTGGGGCTGGCACGGGAGGGGGAGGTGCAGAGGACTCTGGTGTTGACCTGACCTGAAGGAGCTCAGGGTAGTCGGGGCACACTCGATCTCTGACAGATACAGAGGGGTATGAGAGGGGACCCCGCAGGGCATCGTGTGTGCTCCTGTTTGATTAACCCACACATCCGGTTACTTGCACATTATCCCAGGGCCGTGAATACAAGATACATTACATAGCTAAAGCTGTCTCTACTGGCCCAGCAGGTGGTGTGGTGGTTAAGGCACTGGACTCTCACATGGTCAACTGTGGTTCAAGTCCCAGACCGGGTGACTTGCTTTCTCACTTTCCCTCTCTCTTTCTCTCTTTCTGTCTCTCTTTGGTAAGCACACGTGCCCTGTAGCAAATTTTTAAGATAATAATAGTGATAAATAAAATTAAAAATACATAATTCTTTTAAAAACTTTTTTAAAAATGTAAAATAATAATAATAAACCTGGTCTCTGCCCCCAGAAGCTACCATGCAAATGCTGAATCTGAGTCACATGAGATGTATCAAATACATTCCCCAGATCCCAGGCCCAGACATATGGATTCTGAATCTTTGAAAGTGGTTAAGCAGGACATTGGAAGCTCGGATTCTAGTATTCTTCAAGTCTGGGGACTTGTCTGGTGGAATAATGAGCTAAGGGAGTCCTGAGGAAGAGCCAGCGACGGAGAGAAAGGCATCGTGGCTCACCTCTCCCAGGAAGCCCACCGTGATCAATCTAGCCCAGGCTGAGCCCCTGCACCCCGGATCCAACCCCACTGTACATCCTGTGTGTGTTGCGAGTTTTCTGGGTGACTGGCGAGCCTAGGCCCGGGGCTCCTATGTGCGTCTTGGCCTTGAAGGCGAGTACCCCGTGTAACAGGGTTATTGTGATGAGGGTTCCAGGGCCTTGTGACACATGGCTGGCTGGTTGTTCAAGAGCAGGAGGTCAGGAGAGGCCCGGATCCCCTTGGGAATGCGACTCATCCTCTAAAAGGAAGGTCACCTTCCCCTGCTAATTGGCATCACGAGGACTCCCAGCGAGTCCCTGCTGCTCAGAGGCTGTTGGAGGACAGTTAGCAGGGGCCATGACCACCCTGTCTCCTGAAAACAGCCTCTCTGCCCAGCGGTCGGCCTCCTTCATCCTGGTACGTGCTCTTCACCAGCTCTGAGGGCCTCCCTCCCCAGGCTCTGCTTTGCACTGGGATGGTTTTCCCCTGCTGGGTGGGCAAGTTGAGGACCCTGAGCCGGCATAGAGGGTGGGGCGGTCGGACCCTGGTGTTCCCGTCTGTACCAAGTGCGCGGGAGCCCAAGCCCCTTTCCAGCATCTGTCCGAGCCAGCCTTGCCTTCTCCCCAGGTGTGTCATTCCAACCTTACAAGTTTAGGTTTGCAAGTTCACTCCTGGCTCAGTGTCCTTTGGTGCTTTTGCCATCGATGTGGAATGCTGCCACCTTGTGGCAGTGGTGCTGCTGTGCGGGGCCAGGCCCAGGCCCAGGCCCAGGCCCAGTTAATAAGCCACGGCGCTTCCTTGAAATCAGCCTTAGTCCTAAACATTTTCCACACGGCATTTTTTCAAAATCATAATTACTAATTATAATGACCTTAACCAATCTCAAGTCTCATTAATCATAGTGATTCAGAGACTGATACATGAAAATGCAAAATGGACACTTCATTCCCTGAGTTTTAAATGTTACTGTTCTACTCTGTGAAAGTTAATAACACATAAACCCTCACTTGGCATTTATTATGTACAACGACGATTCTAAGTGCTTTATTTCCAGTCATCCATTCCTCCCACAACCCCACGGGATGGGTGAGGCCATTCCCCTCATTTCGTAAGTGAGCAGACTGAAGCACAGAAGCTGGGTACCTGGCCTGTGGTCACACAGTTCCGAGGGGCAGAGCCAGTACTTAGACCAGACAGGAGGGCTGTGACGTCCACCCTCTCAGCCGGCGGTTCCCGGGGTGTGGTGGCCGAACCTGCAGCACTAGCATCTTTTGGGAATTGTAAGAAAGGCAGATTCCTGGGACGGCAGGTCCATGCAAGGCACTAGATCCCACCAAACTGTGTGGTTCGAGTCCCAGATCCAGCAGCTTGACAATCATGCCAGGCGTGTGTGCACACATGCCCAGAGTCCTGAGAGGAGAATGGAGGAGAAGGGATCGCAGTGTGGGCATCCCCCCTGGGGGCTGATGTCTCGCTTCCCCCCATCTGTCTGTTTCTGGCCAGCGCATGTGCCTATAGCAAAAGCTAAAAAATAAAGAGGTGGAAATTCCTCAGCTGGAGATCTTCCAAACCAGAAACTCACAGTGAGACCAGGGCAACCCCCCCCAGGCGATTCTGGCGCTCAGCTGGCGGGGAGAACCACAGCTCTGCCCCTCCTCGGTACTCCCGCTGCCAGTGGTGCACCTTATCCCAGGCTGGTTGTCATCCCAGTGGGGAGAGTCCCCTGACTGAGGGGAGAGCCCCCTGTCTGTGGGGAGAGTCCCCTGACTGAGGGGAGAGCCCCTGACTGTGGGGAGTGTCTGACTGTGGACTGCAGTAGGAGAGAGGCTGGGAGCCTTAGACAGAGCAGTGACCTTCCCAGGCTTTCAGGAGGCCTTGCTGCCGTGACCTTTAAGAGAAGCCTGGCATGGCGAAGCTTCATAGATGGTTCCCTTCCCTCCAGTGGCTTTCAGACTTTGCTGACATCTCGGAGAAAACCTTAACCCACAGTGCAGTAGGGAGGTGGGCTAGAAGTCATGTGCTGGGAGCCGAGGCCTGTGGCAGTGGGGACTATCGGGGGAGTGAGCCACTCAGCTCCCACTTCTGCCCCCTTCTCTGGGGGAGCCATGGCCAAGGTTTCCAGGCGTGCTGGTGGAAGGCGTCAACCTGCAGAGACTGGTGGACACCAACTCTCGTGGTCACGGGCTGCTCACGCTGTCTCACTGAGTGACACGCTGCCTTGGACAGCCAGCCGGAGGAACCCACCAAGGGCATCTCGTGGAGAAATGGAGCTTGAGCAGTGCGAGAACTTGAGAGTTGGTGTCCGAAAGTCTGCTCTGGTCTCGCTCCTCCTTATGGACGCACCAGGGTGCAAGAAAAAGGAAGAAATCCCTTGTACTCAGTGATCAGAGATAACCGGTGTTGTGTCCAGTGGGTCTCGTTTTTCTTAAAGTTGGGTCTGACGTGTGACAGTCCTCCTGCCTCAGCCTCCCGAGCAATTGGGCCTGCAGGGGCACACTGCCATGCCCAGCTTTTTGGCCGGGTCAGATACTGAACCCGGGCCTCTGGTGTGGCTCCCACCAGCGGGCATAGCGTCTCAGCTGCACACACCACTGGCTGGTTTCAGCCTCTTATCTCACTCCTGCTGTGGTTCCCGCACTCTGCTGTCGTTTTTATAACCGCTAATGTACAGGACATGGAGGTACGGCCAGACGGGGGACCCAGCGGGACACTGCAATGCCCTGCAAGGCCATTCCCCATGGGGAGGTTCCTGGTTCAAGTCCAGAGACCTCCCAATTACAGGCACACACTCACCCCAGTCTGGGGCTGCCTGAAAGTTGGGGGTGGATCATGGCATCAGCCTGCCTGAAGTGCTATCTCTCTGTGTCTCTGTCTCCCTCTCATGGCAGAAGTAAAGAGAGGCAGCACTGAGTGCTAGTCGCACCTCAGAGCAGAGCACACGGAGGGACACCGGGTCCCAGCTTCATGCTCTGCTTTTCCCGCTAACATTCCTGTTTTCCAGACTGTGCTTCCTCATGCATGCCTCGCAGTCTCCCACTGGGTCCGTGAGGCACACTCACGCAGCTGTTCCCTCCAGGCAGAGCATCCGAATGCCAGCAGCTCTCAGTCGGGAATGGGAGGGCTGTGCACACGGGGTGTCCCTATCTATTGTCAGTAATGTCCTCAGGACAGATTTCCAGGCGTGAGTCAGTCAGAGGCCGCGAGCTCTGCGTGCTCTGCAGAGCCCAGAACCCAGCATCTGGGAGCAAAGCCGGGGTCCTCGCAAGGGGCCAACCGGTTGTCCTTGCCAGGCCAAGAGAAAGCCACCCATTGACAAGACGGAGTGGGACGGCTTCTTCGATGAGAACGGGCACTTGGCCAAGTCGCGGGACTTCATTTGTGTCAACATCCTGGAAAGGGTACGGTCCCCAAGTTCCCCTGGGTCGTGCCCTGGAACCGGGAGCATAGAGCGCCACGGGGAGGTTTGGCCTTGGACGGAGCGCGCTGGCAGGTGCAGGTGCCCACCACCCTGCTCCCCCAGGGTCTGCATCCAGTGGTGCGGACGGAAGCCTGGAAGTTCCTCACGGGCTACTACTCATGGCAGAGCTCCCAGGACGAGCGGCTCACCGTGGACAGCACCAGGAGGTAGCCGTCTGGGTCCCTGGGCAGGGCGGCTCCGTGGTGCCCACTGGAGGCTTCCTCTAGCAGCTGACTGCCGGTTCTGAGAGACCTCTATGCACTCCTGACCCAGGCCCAGCACAGGGAGGTCGTGGCCTGTGCCAGTGCCTCCTCCCCAGCATGACTCCCAGCCCACGACTGCCACTGCCCAGTCCCAGCAACTCCTACGGCCTCTCCCCCAGATCCCACCCGCTCGGCTCTCCACCCACCTCCCATGGCCCAGCTGCGTCTTGGGTCTATCTCCTCCCTGCCCCTCCTGGCACCTCACATTCCCACCACACCAGCTGCCAGCCCGACCTCCGCCTCCCCCACTGTTGCTCCCGCATAGCACAGACACATCTGCATTCCCCTCTGCCCACTCTTCCCTCTCCATCCTCAATGGTCTCCCCACCATCTGCCTGTTAAAAACCCAGCCATCCTTTAAGGTCCAGGTCAGACAGTGCACCTCCTCCACACAGCTCTCCCAGATCTTCCAAGGCACCAAGATGAGGTGCTTTGGTTCAGGGGGTGACACATGGGGTTGGAACTTGGACAACCTTGGATTTGGAATCTGGGTTCAGATTCAGGCACTGTCTTTGACACCCAGGGTGAGCTTGCCCGTGAGCCTCACTGCTGAAGTCTCAGTCTGCTCTGTAAAGTGGGGGTAACGACATGTTCTCAGGGTAGTTGTGAGCGAGAGCTACGTTAGAAGATACAGGTGTGATGCCAGGCACGGGCAGGTGGCAGCCAACAGGGTTTGGAGGGGTGTGCTCCTTTCCTGAAGCCAGGGACCCTCGATGGGCACTTCTATGACTCTGACCAGCCAGTCTGAAGGGCTGAGACTGGAACAGGTGTCTTCCCTGCTCACTGTTGCCTTGGGCCCGCTCCTGGCCTCTCCATCCCTGGGAGGGCTCAGCAGACACCACCTGGGCAGATCCACTCTGCTGGCTCGGTTCCTCTTCGGGCTGGTGACTCTGCCCTCAGAGGTGTCTCTCCTGGGCGGGACTACCAGTGTGGGAGCCTAGAGCAGCCCCAAGTGATTCCAGGCCAGGGCATGGAGCTCTGCATGCAGGCTAAGCCAGAGGGCTGTCCACACCAGGCCTGAGAGCCCTGCCCAGCCTCCCAGGCTGCCCTAACCAGCAGGGGGCTCCAGACACAGGCGTGAGCCAAGGTGAGGGCGCCTCCCTGAAGGCCATGGGAGCACCCTTCCTCACCACCAGCTCCCAAGGCTCCTTGTTTCCTGGCAGCCTCACTCCAGTCTCTGCCTCCGGTCACTGATAAGGACAAGTGTCATGGGACTTAAGGTGCACCTGGAAAATCCAGCATGTCCTCATCTCTCGATCCTTAATCACATCTGCAAGGACTCTTTGTCCAAACAGAGCCTCAACCACTGCCCAGTCCTATACCTGGCAGCCCCACACAGGTGCCAGCACATGCCTGGTTCTCCCACCCAGTCAGAGGCACAGGCAGAGAAACAGGCTGAGAGGGAACCTGACACCCCAGCTCGAGCTCCTGAGGCAGACCTCCAGGTAGGAAGCTGTGGAGCCAGGACTCAGGTGCATGGAGGTTGGAGTGCGAAGCCCAGGGGTTAGCCCGCCTCCACGCTGCCCACAGGCGATGTCTGAGAGAGGTGAGGGCTGGCCCGGCTGAGAGGGGAGAGCAGAGCAGGTAAGGGCGTCTCCCCCAGGCCAGCGCTGCCGCTGCTTGGAGGTCTCTGCCCCTCGCAGAAGGCGAAAGCCACTAGTTCAGCCTCAATTCTGTCCTCCCAGGAAGAACTACGAGGCCTTATGCCAGATGTACGAGAAGATCCAGCCTCTTCTGGAAAACCTGCACCGGAACTTCACAGAGATGCGGAACAACATCGGTGAGCAGTGGGCTGGGCAGGTGGGGCCGGGTCCTGCGAGCTCCTTTCTGGTGTTGGGATTTGGCACCAGCCAATCCTGGGTCCTCACCCACCAGTCTACAGGACACCCTAGATGCCAATGCTATGAATCGCCAGCCACCTGCCCTTCCTGCTACCTTCCTCCCTGGCCTTGAGCTGGGCTGGATGTGAACCGGACAGAGAGGAAGGGGCCCACCAGGTCCAAGACTTGGAGGTGGGAGAATCCAGTCAGGGTGTGCTGACCGAGGGAGCCTGCTGGCGGCCAGCCTAGTCCCTGTCCTAGCCCCCTCTCCACATGTCCCAGGCCTGCCCTCTGAGGTGGGGCACCATCTCACCCATGGACCCTGTGCTAGAGGTGATCCTGTCCCTTGCCCTCAACCTAGCCTGTGACATCCAGAAACTCTATGACAAGGACCCGCTGGGCAACGTCCTCATTGACAAGAAGAGGCTGGAGAAGGTCCTGCTTCTGAGCTATGTGTGCAACACCCAGGCTGGTGAGCCCAGGTTGCATGCCCAGCCCCACTTCTACTCCTCCTCCAGTTCCAGGCTCCGCCCCTCACAGCCCCACACCTTGGCTCCTCCCCTGGCTCCAGGCTCCACCCCTCACGGCTCTTCCCTCTGCAGAGTACCAGCAGGGCTTCCACGAGATGGTGATGCTTTTCCAGCTCATGGTGGAGCATGACCATGAGACCTTCTGGCTTTTCCAGTTCTTCTTGCAGAAAATGGTGAGAACCTCTTGAGGTTGGGCAGGCATTGGAAACCCCACCAGTTGCTCCAGCCCTGAAACGGCCCCCTGAATCATGGAACAGCCTGGGGGACCCAAGGCAAACCCAGGGCAGTGTGTGGCCTAAGAGCAGGGCCAGGCACTGGAGCTGAGAGGGGGTTCAGCGATGCTCTACCAGCCCTTGAAAGAGCGTGGCTGCCAGGCCCGTAACAGTGCCCTCTCCTGGCACTGCCCTCCACAAACACAACTGTAAGTCCTGCAAGTCCTCCCTGGCTCCCCACTGTCTAGAATCAAGTCCAGTAATCTTAGCCAGGCCCTCGGGGCCTCCTGGCTGGCCTTGCCTCCCATGCTCCCGCCACATAGCCTGCACTCCACATACACCAGGGCTCAGGAGTCCCCGGACACAACCCACTCTGTCCAGGTTGGGGGGGCTGTGAAGGTGCCACTCCCTGTTTCCTCATGACCCATGAGAGGCTGCCCAGAGCCCTCCCTTGCATCCCCTTCCACACCTGCAACAACGCACATGCCCCTTTTTCTTCATCCCCCTTGGATCTGACCCAGCACCCTGTGTGTGGAGCTAATTGGGCTCACTGGATCTGAACCACTTTTGAGACCTCTCTGCAGCCCACCACACACATGCACACACACGCACGCATGAATTAAGACACACTCAGACACAGACGTAGCTGCTCAGAGATGCACACACATACAACCAGACACAGATCACAGAGATGTTTGCACGTGTGCACACGAGCACAGAGACACATGGGGTCATGCAGAGACAGAGACATGGGCCAGCCCAGAGCCAGACGCACACAGGAGCTCCAGAATTGGAGTGGGGAGGCAGGTGGCTGTCCCCGCACCCTCGGGCCAGGCCGGACTCAGTTGCCCTCCCACTCATCTCACACAGGAACACAGCTGCGTCATCAACATTGGCGTGGGCAGGAACTTAGACATACTCAGCCAGCTGATCACCTTCCTGGACCCCGTGTTTGCTGAGCACCTCAGTGAGTGGTCCCCCACCCCCACCCATCAGGGCAGGCATGGGGCGGCTAGGACTCAGCCACACCAGCAGCCCCCAGTCCTGGAGGGACAGGAGACCTCCCCAGGGCCCTGGGAGGAGTTAGGGGAAACCAACCTGAACAGGCTCTCATGGCAGCTGGGAAGGCAGCAGCCGGGGTCCCCGTGCCCTGGGAGTGTGTGTGCTCTGGATGGCGTAGCTGCACGTGTGAGCTCCCCTACAGTTTGTCCCCATTTTGCCTCCCACAGAGGGGAAGGGTGCAGGGGCTGTGCAGTCCCTCTTCCCCTGGTTCTGCCTCTGCTTCCAACGTGCCTTCAAGTCCTTCGATGATGTCTGGCGTCTCTGGGAGGTGAGGCCTCCCTGTCATTCCTACTGTGGGTGAGCTTGTTTGGGGAGAAGGGGGTTGCTGGCCACAGCCCTGCTCCCGCCGTGTTGGAAGGAGCTGGCACACCCCATCAGGGCCCAGTGGTTGTGCCTTCTGCTGGACAGTCAGCATGGGAAAGACCTCCCTGTCCCATGGGGAAGCATGGGCCGACCCCCTCCATGTCCTTCCCCAGCTGCCCTTTCCTCCGCCACCCCCTCTGCAAGCTGCTGCCCCCTGCAGAAGGTGGGGCTCCCAGGGCCACAGTACCCAGGGCCATTAGTAGATGAACCTCCCCAGGGACACATCTACCTGTCACTGTCCTGCCAGCGGCTGCTACTGCCCACAGGATCCTGCCCCATCCCAGCCTGGTACTTTACGTCTGAGTCTCCCCACTGCTCCTGCCCCCTCTCTTAGCCTGCTGGTCTCCATGGCCTAGGTCAGGCCTGTGGTGACACCTGTATTCCCAGTTCCCAGCAACACTGGCTTGGCCACAGCGCCACGCCAATGCTGCAGCTCCCCAGCCTCTCCTGGCTCTCCATTCTCCCTCCCTCTCCCTGTGTCCCCAACAGCCAGGAGCACCTGCGAGCACTGCCCCGAGTGAGTGAGTGAGTGAGTGAGGCCCAGGGAGGGCAGGCCCTGGTCCTGGGTCAGTGGGCACTTTGTCACCTAAGGCGACTGCAGGCTGAGGGCCCCATGCACACAGGTGCTGCTGACTGGGAAGCCCTGCAGGAACTTCCAGGTGCTGGTGGCCTACTGCATGCTGCGGATGGTGCGTGAGCAGGTGCTGCAGGAGAGCATGAGCGGGGACGACATCCTCCTGGTGAGAGCCCGGCCGCCCCACTGCCCTGGCCTGACGCCCCAGCCCAGCCCCTGCTGCAGGTCCGGGCTCAGGGTGCTGCCGTCTGGGCTGCCCTGGCCTGCAGACAGAAACAGCAACAGGAGCGAATTCTGCAATGGCCCAGATTCAACACCGGCCACGACAGGGCCTGTCCACGTCCACCACAGACACAGGGGCTATATCGACCGTGGGCATCACCCTGGTTAGCGCAGGAGGAAACCGAGGCACTGTCTACCCCTCAGCCCTGGGACGCCTCCTGTGGCAAAAGGACCTAGAGTGTTCAGCGTTTCTTTTCATTGCCAGAGGGTGCGTGCACTCGGCAGAGAGAAACAGAGACACACTGAGAGAAAGAGACCGAGGGAGAAAGCACCCTCGGTGGGGCATGGTCACACCACAGCCCCTCCTCACACACGCTGGGCATTTCTCAAGCCACTGGGGCTAGGGTTCACACTGTGGTTGGCCATGTGGGATCTGGCTCCCTTAACCACCAGGCCATGGGGCCAGACCAGAACCTTTTTAAAAAGCAGCTAAAGTCTTCGTTTAAAGAAAAATTTAGAAGGCACCTCAGTTATCAATCCAGTTCTCCTTAGAAGCCCCTGAGATAGGATGGAGCCCCAGGACTCCCCAGAGCCCTGTACAAAAGCTTCATTTAGCATCAAAAAACAGTTTCAGGCACCAGGTCGGGAGAGACAGGTGACCCGAGGACGAGGACGCTCTGTGCTCTGTGTGGCGCTTTCTTCCCTGGGTGCTGCCAGCGCCCAGGAGTGAAGGGGAGCAGATCCTCATTCCCATGCCCACCACTCACCCCGTCCCCAGCCCCCATAACCTTCTGTTCCCACACAGGCCTGCAACAACCTCATCGACCTTGAAGCTGACGAGCTGATCTCGGCTGCCTGTGTGGTGTATGCTGAGCTCATTCAAAAGGATGTAAGCTGCCCCAGTGACTTCTCCTCCTCCTCCAAGAAGACCTCCCTGATTTCCAAAGCCCAGTCCATAGCAGGCATATTCAGGCCCTAGACACAGTGTGTGCCCCGCTCTTTCCCGTTTGCATGTGTCGCTGTGCCGCTGGGGCGGACTACTCTATGAGTTCATAGCCCTCGTCTCCCACCCTGTGTGCATCCCAGCGGGCCAGGTGCAGGTCTGGCACCCAGGAGCATGTCACCGCTGGACGTGCTGACGAGCGAGGGCAGAGACAGGAGTCTGTCCACTCACCCTGGGACCCTCCCTCCGCCAGGTGCCTCAGCCGTTGAAGGACTTCTTTCTCTGAGGATGTGGGTGCCGCAGCGGACAGACGCCCTGGATGGACGGGCTCTTCAAATGCGAGGTCGGAGTGGCAGCTGACGGGGTTGGGTGAGGGAGTAGCCATACAGTCGCAGTAGAAACAGCCTCATGGAGTGAGAGCGTGCCGGGCCGTGTGCTGGGCGGTCTGTGTCCTTTGACCTCGGGGGCCTGGGGCAGGCAGGGCTGGGACAAGATAGCATGATGGGTAAGAAGGTGATCCAGGTGAGCAGACACAGGGGGTTGGAGATGAGCCCGCAGGGCGGAGACCGTGGCCAACTGCCCCCCTCATGTGACCAGGGCTTTCCAGGGCTGCCGGAGCCTCAGCTGGAAAGGCAGATGGAGCCCACCCAAAGAGGAGGAGCCTACGCCTGGGACTCCATTCCTTCGAGGAGGGGCTTTGCCGTCTCTCGTCTCTCCCTCACCCCACACACCAATCACACAGGTGGGGTGAGGCCCGGGCAGGGGGAAGGCATGTCCTGCCATGGCTGGCCACCAGCCATGCTGCCCAGGGCAGGAGAGGTTGACTTCTGAGGCCTCGGGCAGACGAAGGTCCTGGCTGCAAACTGCTGCCAGCTCCAGGGAGGAGAGAGGGTGGGGATGGGGCTGTGCTAGGGAAGGGACTCCAGCCGATGATGGGGCAAGGGCGGGGGGTGGCACGGCAGTGGCAGCTCTTAGGCACAGTAGAACTCCCACCTAGACTCAGGCAGGCTGCTGGGGGGTAGAACGGGAATTTTAAAAACCCGAGGTGAGCCAGAGGCGGCATGGAGATTAAGGCACTGGATCCCACACAGTGGATTTTGCGGGTGGAGTCCTGGACCCAGTGGCTGGATAAATTGTGCCGGGTGCATGAGTGTGTGCCCAAAACCCTGAGAGGAGACTGGAGAAACCAGTACTGGGGTGTGGCCATCCCCCGGGGAGTGATTTCTCACTTCCCCCCTCTGTCCCTCTGGCAAGCACAGGCACCCTATAGCAGATGGGTACTGGGGTGTGGCTGTCCCCCTGGGGAGCGATTTCTCACTTTCCCCTCTGTCTCTCTCACAAGCTCACGTGAACACCCTATAGCAGGTGGCTCTGAAGCATGCCAGGGATGGAAACCCGAGTTCAGAGCAGCAGTGTGCGGGAGGGGCTGGTGATCAGAAGTCTGACAGCTCCTGACACGAAGGGCCCAGGGGAGGAACTTGCCCTAAGTCTCATAATACGGGGAAGCAGGGCTCTCTGCAACCCCCCACCCAACTCTGCCCTCCTGGGGACCACAATGAAGCCTCTGGCTGTCCTCCCAGAGACTCTGGCCTGGACCTCCCCATCAGTCCACCTTGGAGCCCTCCAGCTGAACCATTCTAGAATTAAGCATCCAAGCTCTTCTCTGAGCCTGCAGAAAGGAATCTCTTTAGGGAATTAAAAATACCTAAATCTCTGAGGCCCAGCCCTCACCTGCAGCGGTATGCAAATGTCCCTGCACACCCACAGTGCAGCTTTCAGAGGCTGGGAGCAAATAGGATGCAAATGTATGCGCCCATTATGCAAACAAGGGCAGCCCTGGATTAATGAGCCCATCCATCACCCAGAAGGCGGCTGTCTCTTAGGCACAGGCACGGCTGACAGCAAGGTTCGAGTTGCCTGTCAGAAGCACCCTGAGGAGGGGTCGGCTCTCAGGGCGAGGGAAGGAACATTCGGACCCCTGACTTGCTGTGCTCTGCTCTGGGAAGCATGGGCAGGGGTGTCTGTCAGCCAGGCAGGATGTCTCAGATGGCTCCTTGCCCAGGTCCTGGGGTCAATGCCAGGCTGAGCCAGGGGTGGGCCTGGCGGAGGTGCGGGTGGTAAGGCTCCTGATCACAGCGCTCACGTGAACATTAGAGATGGCAGTGGTAGAGATGGCCCTGGCAGGAGTAGCTCGTGACCACGGAGTGGGGGGACAGATGTAAGGAGGGGCTGAGTGACAGCGATGGTGGAGGTGCCACTGACATGAGGCCGTGGACAAGGTGCAGAGGCAGAGGGAAGGCCAGTGCTGGACATAGTGGACGGGCTGGCCATGGAGAGCTGAGGGCAGCGGGAGCCTGGTGAGGGGGAGGATGGCGATGGAGGGAATGACAGTGACGGACACAAGGGCTGCCGCTGCTCATGGCACTGGTGAGGGGACGTGGAGGTGCGTGTCCTGGCAGCCACGGCGGCGTGGCGAGCATCTCACAGCCTGCTGCACGCTGCTTGCAGGAGGAACCTGAGACCAGGGCTTTGAGGGAGGGAGGTTTTCCCCGACAGTGCGGAGGCTGGGAAGTCCCAGGGCATCATGGAATGGCAGAAGGCGGACCTTTGACAGCAGAGCGCGGTCCACGGGATGGTGACCCGTGTCCACCCAGGGTGGCTCGTTGGGGGTGGGAGGGTCATCTCAGAATGGTAAGGATGGTGGCCAGAGAGGACCAGCTCTGAGTCTCCTTCCCAGCCCACTGGGTTTATCCCCACACCCTGTGCATGGACAGCAGTCCCAGCAAGGGGCCACGGAGACATGGCCTGGCCCAGGGACAGCCAGGGGCCTGGCAGTTAAGGAGGCTGGATCCCATGTGGCAGACTGCACGGTTTAAGTCCTAGAACTCCAAACATGCCAGGTGCACGTACGTGTGTACCCAAAGCCATGAAAGGGAGAGAGGTGGGGAAGGGACTACAGCATGGCCACTCTCCCTGCAGGAAGGTGCTTCCTCACTTTCCCTCTCTCTGGCTCTTCTTGCACCAAAAGAAAAAACAAAAAGCCACGGCCTGGCCTGGGCCTGCCCAGGGAGCAGCTGCACGGGCAGTGCCCTGCAGCCAGACACAGGGTCAGCGGCGGGGCTCCACATGGCAGGAGGGCGAGGCCAGCTCTGCTTTCTAGCCAAGTTCTGAATGGTCCCCATCTCACAGCCCACACGAGGATCTGGGCTCCTGTCCACAGACCTCCCTGAGATGGCCCCTGCCCCTGCAGTGTCCAGGCTGGAGCATGGGGCAGCTTGCCGGAGAGGCCGAGTCCCCTGGGACAGGTCTCCCGTGCCCCCACCCCCAGCCATTGTGACCTAGCTCCCTAGGTGTCAGTCAGCTGCTGGGAGACGTGAATACTTGATTGCTTCTTCAATGTAGATATTAAAATCCCTCAGTAATTCAATAACGCGCTGTCCAATTACTGACATGATGAGCTATTTTAAATTAGATAAAAAATATTTAGGCAATTAAATTGCTAAGTGATTGGATTGTTTCTGAAAGAAATGTCCTCATATCTGCTCTCCTGAGTCCTTTGTTTTAAGGCTTTTTGCCATAGGGTGCATGCGCACAGCAGAGAGACAGAGACAGTGAGAGAGAAAGTGAGAAGTCACCCCTCTGGGGAGATGGTCATGCCGCAATTCCTTTTCCCCCATTATCCTACTGAGATTTTGAGCATGCAAGCACACTGATTCTCACACCTGGTGTGATTTTCAAGCGGTCAGATCTGAGACTCGAACCACAACTTGCCATGCAGGAGTTCAGTGCCTTAACCACTATGTCATCTGTGAGCCCCTCCCTTGGGCTTTTTTAATTCTCCTTTCTTAAATCACCCTGTGAAAGGGATGTGCAGATGCAGGAGCCTGCCTGTGGCTCTGTGCGTCTGAATTCAGCAGAGCCTTGTGGTCAGGGCCCCCGGGGGAGGCTCTTCCCCGTGCCCGGGGTTTATTGAGGTCAGCTTGTCCTGGCTCAGAAAAAAAGCAAATTTGCACATCTTTTCCTATTCTGTGTTCAGTGACATCACGTCGCTAGCTCAAAATTGCCCTCGGTGAAAGTATTTACACCATGGAAATGGGCAGTTGCAACAAGCGGGAACCAGGGTTTTTCTTCTTCAGAGAGCCACCACTGCCTTTACTCTTCTCTCCCATACGCCCACCCCAAAACCTGGTTCTGGGGTGTGATGACACACAAACACGTTTGCGGGTTTAGGGCGTGTGTTCCAGGCCCCAGCTGGGAGCTTCCCTCAGGGCAGAGCAGAGTCAAATGGGGGGTGTGGGCCTTCCCTGTCCTCCGTCCCAGGGCTCGTTGGGCCTGCCATGGAGGGAGTATGGTCTAAAAGGAAGAGACCTCCCCCGGATGTCGGAGAGCTTAAATGACAGACATGTCAGTCAGAGACCCAGGCGCAGTGAGCAGAGATCTGGGCCATGGTTTGTCCCTGAAGGTTCAGGTTTTCATTTGGTCCTGGTGGGCAGAGGCAGGGTGTCCCCCAGGGTTTATGCACCGAGGGTTGGTCGTGTCATGAAGGTATTCAGAGAAAACTTGGTTTCTCCATGGGCCCCAGGGTGGGGCCTGCGGCGTGGTACTGTCATTAGGGCGGTCCATGCCCGCGTCTGTCAGGACAGGGATGACACAGGCCCCTCCGGTCTGCTCACGGTGGTGCCTTCAGCTGTCTGCAGCGTCTGTGGACTTCCCAGTCACCAGAATCACGAGCTTTGTAAATAAACATGTTTTCTTTATAACCCAGCCAGTGTCGGGTATCTCTCTCAGCAACTCCACAGTGGACTGGGACACCCGGCCTGGCCACACGGTGGGGGCCTCGGCAGGTCCCCGGACTCCACCTCACCTGTGGGACCTAGCGGCTCACTGTCCGAGGAGAGAGCAGCTTTGGGGTTCTCGACCTGAAATGCCCAGGAAGCAGTCAGGTCACTGGTGGTCTCATGTACAGCCCACCTTGAACGAGGCCACAGAAGCCACTAGGTGGTGGGAGAGGTGGGGCAGGGGCTGGAGAGAGCCATGGCGAGGCTTCCGACCTGGCTGGGGAGGCGGGGCCCTCTTCTAGACCTCCCCACCCAAGTCATACGAGTGCACCCTGTCCCTGCTGTGTCTGTGAGGGGTGTTTGGAGGGGTGGATGATGGCATTGGGAAGACAGGATGAGGGCCAGCCCTCGTGCTCTGGCTGCACGAGGAGGGGGCTGCTGCTGAGGAGGGGGCAGGCTGGGCGGGTCTACACCTGTCCGGCTTCTGGGGAGCACCCTGCTTGGCACTGCCCAGAGCCAATGCCTCATGTCCCTTGTGGAAAAAGAGGGATGTCCTGGCCCACAGGGAGGGGATCTGAGGCCAAGTACATCGAAGGCTCAAACCTACCCCCTCGCCCCATCGAGGACGGATTAGCAGGCTGAGCTCCTGTTCTCGGGGTCAAAGCCAAGCCGAGTTGCTGGTG